AATGAAAAGTAAACTGTGTAGACCCAGGGTCCCTGTTGTGCACAGTGTAGTCCCTAGCCCCAGAGGATGCTCTGAGTGGCAGCACACAGGGATGGCGGGTGCCACTGTGGCTCCAGTTGTGTCTGTTGCTGCTTACTGCGGCCCCTGGCTTCCACACTTAGAACAAATCGCAGCCCAGACTTTGCCAGAGACTCTGAGGTTCCAGAGGGATGCTGGGCCCACCGCTGGAACCAGAGCTGGCTGCTGGGTTATTTTTGTGCTTTATTTTATTAAAATTTCTTTCCTTTCTCTCTTTATTTTGAAGGGCACAATCTCAGGGTGCCCAAGAGGCACCCAGGTAGGCGCAAACAGACCTGTCTACCCTGGGGTCAGCCGGGTGGGTTCACCTCTGGCTCCTCAGTCCACAGGGATGTCTTTGAAAGGCCAGGTCTACTTTAGTTTTATTTTCTTTCCTCTCCCACCCCCTACTCTTTAAAAATTGGTTTCATGGTGAAAGGGCAGAAGCAGCTCACACAGGGTGGCCTGCAGCAATTCGACAAATTGGTTGCTGTCGAATCCCGAGCAGCCCTGGCTTCCTTCAACACAGTAGTTAGGGACTTTAATTTAAACCCTTGTTCTGCAGACCACCAACCCTCTGCAGACACGCCCCTGCCTCCTCCTAATAAAGGCTCATTTAACCCCATGCTCGCTCGTGTGCAAATCCTCCGTCGCTAAGAATTGTTTGGATATAAGGGAGTTCCAGGTTTTGGGAAATCATTTTGTGTGAAACCCAAGTTACTGAAGTACTTTTAGGTTTGAGTGTGTCACTTCCCAGGGTGGGTTTGGGAGAGTGAACAGAGATTGACCCTTTGTGCCAGGGCGGGTGTTTACACCAAATATATATATATATATATATATATATATTTTCTTACTTGGGTATTTATGTGCCTGGCAAGTCAGTTCCTGTTAATCTATTCTTACTGAGTGACTGGCCTTAGCTCAGTGACATGGGGCTCCTTAGAACAGCCACACTAGGTGGCCTCTCTTATAGAAGCCTTCCCAGCCATTAGTCCTCAGTTCCATGTAGTCATTGATCAGAGTATTACCTGGCACCGGACATAGACTTCCACTTGAACTGATGGGGTCTGACCACAGGGCTCTGTTGTCACCTATGGCTTGTGAGTCCAGTAGCTTGTGTACCTTACTGGGGACACCCTACAGCAGAGGCCAAAGGGTTGCTGGTGCATCATTTTCCCAGGGTGACACTCGTGATGCTCTGTGTAAAAGGGCCGAGTGTTGAGGTGCCTTAATTTATTGGAAAGTGTTGCCCATTCTCTTTCTACTGCACTGGTTTGAGCAGCAAGGCCTCATAGTGACATTACAGCTAATGACTGGGGGGTGGGGGACCAGGTATTACTTAGTTAGTAGGGTGCTGTGTCAGCTGTGAAGCTGCCCCACCACCACCACCAAAGCTGGCTCCATCCCTATCCTGATGAGCTGGGTCCTGGGCTCCCTGCAGATCTGCCATCCTCTGCCTCCTGAGGTGGGATGAGCTTACACCTCATGCCTGGGTTTAAAAACTTAAGAAAGTTAAATGTATTTGGCATAGTACTTTCATGTCTATACTTGGGAGTTGAAGATGGAGGTGATGGTCCCTACTTATTTCCAGAGACAATCACAAACATCAATGGCTCTGGTCAGTGGGGGCAATATACCTTAGTTTATTCCACTCATTGTCTGGGACGTGCAAGACACGTGCCCATTGAACCACCCCCAGGCTCTTGTCTAGCTTGTGGAAACATCAGGAACCAAGTGTCACCTGGGTTAGGGGGACAGTGGTCATGCGCAAGTGGGCAGGTAACTTAAAGGCTCCTGGCTGAAGGCGTTCCTATGAGCATCCTCGGGACCCGAAGCCCCCCCCCACACACACACACACACACTAGGGAGGCCAAAGCTTACCCCAGGCAGAGGGAGGAGGGGACAAGTGCTGGCTGTAATGTGCAACATTTAACTGGAAGCAGAGAATCAGAGTATCAGCCTGAATGGGGGAGCCTATTTGGGGAAGGTTGTTCCTCACCTTCAAATGGTGACAGCCTGAAGACTTTGGACTGTTGCCAAAAAGTGGTTCCTAAATATTCATTGTGTAACAGTTACACTAGTGCAGAGTATGGGGGCTGGGGCAGCTGACACTGTAATTATTGTGACTGAATCTTTGGTAATACGTGTTTTTAAAAAGTTTGCCACCAAACGAATAGATGTTCCAATAAATGAGCTGGAATTGGTAGCCTCCTTGTGTTGGGGAATTTTGAGACCCTGAAGGACAATAAAGAAACGGACCAAATGTCATTGTATTGTTCCTTTATTTCCTGGGGCCCTAGTGTTTTGTCCCAGCTTCTGGTGGCCTTTCTTAAAGGGGGGGAGTGAAAGGTAGGGTACACATGCCGTTTGAACATGGCATTCCTCTACCCTGATGAGCTCTGTGTCATCCTGTTTGACCTCAGCAGGCAGGGGATTTGGTGAGAATCCCAATTAAGCTCTTCCCACCTGAGGCCACAGGTCTGATTTTTTTTCCCCCAGAGCTTTGTGGGGTTTTGCTGTTGGAATGTTCCCAGCATCGACAGAGCTGTAAGCTTGTCCCACTGCCGGTCTCCACATCAGCTTGAGATGCCCAGTTTCACATTTTGACTTTGTTTTGAGGCAGAATCTGCTGTAAGCCCAGGCTGCCTGTGAACTGATTCTCCTGCTTCCACCTCCCATGTGCAGGGATGATTGGCATCCAGCACCACTGGAAATATTTTAAACAAAAAAAAATAGGGGCTGGAGAGATGGTTCAGTGGTTAAGAGCACTGGCTGCTCTTGTAGACAATCCCAGTTTAGTCCCTAGCGCCCACATAGGAGCTCATAACCATCTGTAACTCTAGTCTCAGGGATCTGATGCCTTCTGGCCTCAACAGGCTCTGTATGCACATAGTGCACAGACATATATGCCAACAAAATATACATGCTAAAATGAAAGGAAAAAAAAGGCCTGGTGGAGCACACCTTTAATCTCAGTACTTGGTAGGCAGAGGCAGACAGATCTCTGAGGTAAGCCTGGTCTACATAGTGAGACTATCTTGGGGAGTGAGAAAAGAAAAAGGAACCTGGGCTTTTGGGTGCATACCTGTAATCCCACTGCCCAAGAGGCAGAGGCAGGAGCATTGCTCCAAGTTCTATTTGGGTTACATAATGAGTGGCCCAGGTAGGCCATGCCCACTTGGCTAAACCATGTCTCAAAAAACAAAAAAGCCAGGCGGTGGTGGCACACACCTTTAATCCCAGCACTCGGGAGGCAGAGGCAGGCGGATCTCTGTGAGTTCAATGCCAGCCTGGTTTACAAGAGCTAGTTCCAGGACAGGCTCCAAAGCAACACAGAGAAACCCTGTCTTGAAAAACAAAACAAATCTGAAGGTGTGGCTCAGTGGTACAACCCATGCATGGAATACCTTAGTGGGGGCTGGGGGCTTACTCTGAGCGTGATCACCTGCCTAGTCTCAGTAGGTTCTGAGTTCCATCCCTAGCAAAAGAGGGGCTTGTGTGAAGATAAGAATCCATTCTGAATGTGCTATAGACTCCATCTATGAAATCTGAACCACACCCTTCCCCAAGCCCTGGGATGGTTCCCTGCCCAGAGCCTCCCTGCTCACCAGAGGGTGTGGTTGTTTCTGCCTAGGCTCTGGCATATTCCAGACAGCACTGGAGTTAGGCCCATCCCTTCTTGTAGCCTCAGTTGCCCCATCTGCGCCCAGCCTGAGAAGTGAGCTCACACTTGCCCTTCAGGGCACCAGAAACCTGTGGAGAGGGGAGCAGGTGCTTGGCACAGCAAGGCCTACAGCAGACAGCCCCTCAGGCTACCTGGACCTAATTAATACAGGAGCAGGAGAGTATTGAAATGTTTTCCAGACAGTCATTGTCACCAAATCCCGGTAAAATCACAGGCAAGGCTCCCAGCTGCCTCCTCACCCTTCAGGGTCCCCTTTGAAGTACTGTTAGCTCCCCTCTATTTTCTCATTCCCTTCCTATTTCAGCTCCAGGAACTCCCGCGGTGTCACTTTGTCCTTTGTGGGTTGTTGGTTGTGTGTGTTTGAAATAGGGTTTCTCTGTGTAGCCCTGGCTGTCCTGAAACTCACTTTGTAGACTAGGTGAGCCCCAAACTCTCAGAGATTCCACCTGCCTCTGCGTCCCCAGTGCTGGGATTAAAAGGCATGTACCACACTCCCGGCATCCTGTGCCGTTTTTAATGGTTTGGGCAACAGCCTCAAAACAGCTTCACAGTCTCTCCCTGGATATCCCGTCCCGCCTGGCATTTCTCACAACTTACAATTATTTCCACATCTTGTCTAAATTTTACTTGGCATTGTACTTGCATCCTTGTTGAAGGCAAAGATGGTTCAAGCCTCTTGGAGTCCCAGGTAAGGTTCAAGACATGCAGAACTTGGCTGCACACCTGTCATCCCGAACTTGAGAAGTGTAGGCAGGAGAGTCCAGGTTCCATGCCAGCCTAGCTTCATAGTGAGAGTAAGCAAGCCGTGGTCTAGCATGACACGCACACAAATCACCATCACTACCAACAGCAACAGCAAAGAAAACGGCACCAGTAGCTGGGTCTGTTCTCTGCCTGCAAACTCTTCCTATAGGGAAAGTACCACCACCCTCGGCTTAAAGAGACCTAACTACAAATAATAGCTGTGTCTGCACAGTTGACACCTGTGTGGGCCTCAGTTTCCACATCTGTAAACGCTCAGTTTCTGCCATCAGGTAGTCCCCTCCTTCCCCCATGCCGATCCCAATTCAAGCATCATCACATCCCAGGGAACGACTATAAAACCTCTAGAAGTTTGTCCAGTTTGGAGAACAGATTCGAATCCCACAACTCTTTTTTTTTGGTCTGACGCTGGAGTCGCCACATACATGGCTTTCTCTAAAGTGCTGAGATCTCCCCTCCCCTCAGCTCCGTAACAAGGGTCCACCGCTAAAGCCACTTGCGAGGAAAAGCGAATTTATTGCAGGTTCCAACCTGGCACTTGGAGTGCACCGCCGACCCGCAGCTTCTCCGCTCCACTGCCACCCACCGCACAGCAGGAGCTCATTCCGCGCAGGCGCAATGCTTCTCTCTCTTCTCTTCGCGCCCCTCTCGGGGCCTCCTCGCCAGAAATCGAGGGTGCGCATGAGCCCTCCAGCAATTGGGTTGTGCAGGAGGAACCAGAATCCAACAGCGGGCCTCTGTGGGCCGCCGCCGTGGTGGGAGGGGAAGGGACAGGGCGCGCGCGCAGTGGCGCGCGGCGACTTCGCGGGTTTCCCGAAGCTCGCCGGTCGCGCGTGCGCCGCCCTGGCTCAGGGCCTGGTGCGGCGGGAACAGCGAGAACCCCGGCTCCTAGCCGGAGTCCCCGGCCCGCAGCCAGCCATTGCGCGCCACCTGACCAGCCGAGGGCCGGGCGGATGGGCTGAACTGTAGCAGCTCGGCGATCAAGGATTTGCAGCGTTCCGACAGTTCGAGGCCGTCGGGGTAGAGCACGCCGCGCTTCTGGCGCCGGGGCAGGCCAGCAATGTCCGAGTCATCGAAGGGCATGCACCCGGTGACCATGACGTAGAGCACAACGCCCAGGCTCCATACGTCGTATTTCTTGGGGTCGTAGGGGATGCCCAGGAGCACCTCAGGTGACGCATAGGCGGCCGAACCGCAGTAGGTGGTGCTCAGGTCTGGATAGCCGTGCGCCTGGCGGCCGAAGCCGAAATCTGTGAGCTTGACGCGGCGCTCGTCAGGGCTCAGGAGCACGTTTTCGCATTTGAGGTCGCGGTGCACCAGGTGGTGGTCGTGCAGGTAGCGCACGGCACCCGCGATCTGAGAGAAGAGTTCGCGCGCCTGTGACCCCGGGATGCGCCCGTTTCGCTGCACTGCCTGCAGTAAGTCGGTGGCTGCTGCTTCCATCACGATGTACAGCTTCCCGTTGCACACTTCGATGAACTCGAAGACGTGCACGATGTGCGGGTGCCGTACTCCCCGCAGGATGGACAGCTCTCGAGGCAGGAACTTGTTGACGAAGTCCGGAGGCGCTCGCCGACGGTCCACCACCTTGATGGCCACCGTCCCTTTATATTTCTTGGAGGTGGCTACCTTCACCTTGGAGTAGCTGCCCTCACCTATCGTGCGGCCCAGCTTATAGCCAAGTTCGCTCAGGAGCTTGTCGCCCGACATGGTGGCGCCCGGGGCGCGCGGGGAGCAGGAGGCGGCTGCTGTCGGGGGGCGGCCGGACTCCGATCTCGGGCCTAACCCATGGTGCTTGGCACCTGCACCCCCGTGCCCCCATGTGCCCACTCCCAAGGTCCTAGAGCCGCGATGACTTTTATTGCCCGGGTAACAATTTCTGCCTTGTGAAGTGACTGCGGGCGTCACTCGGCCTTGGGGTGGGGACGTCCCCGCCCCGCGCTCCTTAAACCCTCTCAGGCTTTGTGACTCAATCGCTCTGAATGACCGGTTCCTCGTGAGAGGGCCCTGGCGAGGGGCAGATCACTAACTGTGGAATTAGTGTGGATGGGCCAGTCCATTGCCTTGGCCCCTGGAGGTGGGGGGTAGAAAGGGGCAACCTGTGCAAAGCTCGAGGCTGGCCACTATCGCTCAGGAAGGAAAGTAGGTGAACACCAAGACTTTTATTACAAGGTACGGGATGCCCAGCAGAGCTCCAGTGCCAACCACTGAATCAAGTCCCGTCCTGGGGCCAGAGCAAGGAAGGACTTAAGGACCGAAGCTGTGCTAGCTGACAGGTGGAGAACCACCAGGGCGACCAAATTTCCGCCACACTCAAAATGACAACCACACGTCACCTCACTTCCGCTGGTAACCGGAAGTTGAGGATCTTGCAAGTATGGCGGCGTCGAAGGTGAAACAGGACATGCCCCCACCAGGGGGCTACGGCCCGGTCGACTACAAGCGGAACCTCCCTCGCCGGGGACTGTCGGGTCAGTGTCGTCCGGTTCGAGGTCGGAGGCCGGGCCTCGTTCATGCGGCTGGGCGGGAGCGGGGAGACCGCAGGCTTCAGTTTACGCAGTGAGGGAGGCGCGGTTGGAGTCTGGGTTCTCTATCGCAGCATCCCGTGGGGCGAGACTGTTCATTTGCCCAATTTTCCAGTCGGCTTCCACAGTTTAGGATATTAAACCTCCGAGAAACTCAAACTCGAAACTTGGAGACTTTGTTTCGTTTTAGGTTGGCCTATAATTTCTGATGTCTTTGCCGTCACTTCCCAAGGGTGCACCATTATGCTCAGTCTTCTTTTCTTTCCTTCCTTCCTTCCTTCCTTCCTTCCTTCCTTCCTTCCTTCCTTCCTTCCTTCCTTCCTTCCTTCCTTCTCCTCCTCCTCCTCCTCCTCCTCCTCCTCCTCCTTCTTCTCTTTTCTTCTTTTTTTTTAAGTTAGAGATTTACTATATAGCCCAAGCTGGCCTCAAAATCGAATTCTGGGATGACAGGCAGGTCCACCCAAAGCAGGAGGTTCTATGTGTGTTGATTATACCTTAGCGTAGAACCCAGGCTAGTCACAAACTCCAACCTCCCTAGCACTGATTCCTCACTGTCATTTTTTGCTTACCCCCTTCTCCAAGACAGGCTCTTCTGGATCCCAGGCCAGTCTGGAACTCCTGGCTGTCTACCTCTGCTCCGTAGTGCCAGGATGACAGGCATGTGCCCACCATACTGAGCTGCATCCTTAAAACCTTCAAGTGTTTTAAGTAACATTTAGAATTTTTTTATTGATTTCAAAAGGGAAAGAATCTGGAGAACATTAAGGTCCCCACCCTCAGTGCTCAGAGTTACAAAAATAGAATAGTTAGGGGTCCAATTGGTATAGTGCCTGCCTAGCATTTCAAAGCCCTGGGTCCCACCCCTAGCACTGCATAAATAGAACTGAGTGGTGGACATCCATCATCCCAGCACTTAGGAGGCTGAGGCACAAGGATTGGGAGTTTAGGGTCATCCTGGGCTACACAGATCAACCTGGGCTACATGATGTCGTCTCCCTCTAAAAGAAAAAAAAAATAGTGAACTTAGGGACGGGAGAGATGACTCAGTGGTTTGGAGCACCTGCTGCTCTTCCAGAGGACCAGGTTTGGTAACTCCCTCCCTCTACAAATTTAGATTTGAATTCCGCAGACTTTTACTGTGCATATTATGCAAACTGTGCCTCAATTAAAAAGCAAAATCTTAAGGCCCTATGTGTTGGTTCACCTGTGATCCCAGTACATGAGAAGCAAAGATGGGATCATGACAAGTTCAATGCTAGCCTAGGCTATGTGGAGAGTTAGGCCAGTAAGGACTATATTTCAAAAAAATCAAAAAACGAGCTGGGCTGTGGTGATACACACCCTTAATTATATCACTCAGGAGGCAGAGGCAGGCAGGTCTCTGAATTCAAGACCAGTCTGGGCTACAAAGTGAGTTCTAGGACTGTATACATATCTGGTGCCCTGGAACTGAAGTTACAGACGGTTGTGAGCCGCCATGTAAGTGCTGCAGACTGAAGAGTAGCAAGTGTTCTGTTGCTTGTTTTTCCAGAGAGGGTTTCTCTGTGTACACCTTGGCTGTCTGGAACTCACAGATCCGCCTGCCCTGTCTCCCCAGAGTGCTGGGATTAAAGGTGTGTGCAACCAGCTCTGTTTTTTAGTATTATTATTGCGCACGCATGTGTATGAGGAGTTTGGGAATGTGGAGGTCTGAGGATGACTTTGTTAAGTCAGCTTTCTTCTATCTCTATGTGGGTTCCAGAAATTAAACTCAGATCACTACTAGGTTTCTGTAGCAGGCATGTTTACCAGCTGAGCCATTTGGCAGCTCCTCTTTCTCATCTCTTTCTGAGGTATAACACACCCAAGCCCATGATTCTCTCAGACCTGCACCATGTTTCTACATAGCATGTACCCATAGGACACCTAAGACTAGGCTGGTGGACTCCTCAAGTCAACATCGCTTATTTATTTTTAGTTTTTATGTATTCCTGCATTTGTTTAGAGACAAAGCAATTCTCTGTAGCTTAGAATGGCTCTGGACTGGTCCTGCTCCCACCTCTTGAGTGCTGGGGTGGCAGGTGTGTGCCACTAAGCCTGGCTTCTGTGGTGCTGGCTGTGGAACCCAGGGTTTGTGCCTGTTAGGCAAGCACTCTGCCATCTGAGCCATCTGCCAGCCCTTCCTTTTGCTTTAAAGTCACCATGTGCTTTCCCCTCGTCTTCAGATCATGACACAGCTGTGCTGGGCCCTATTGCCCTATACCTTTCTTGTTCTGTTGTTGTTCTGAAACACTCATTTTTTGTTTGTTTGTTTCTAAGACTTATTTATTTAGAGACAGGTCCTGGTTGGCCTGAAGCTATGTAAATCAGGATGGCTTCAAACTGAATCTGCCAGACTCTGTCTCCCAAGTGCGAGATTGAAGGAGTTCATCACCACGCCTGACTAAGATCATAACTGTGCATGCGCGTGCATCTGCATGTGAAAACAGGTGCTCATGAAGGCCAGAAGGTGGTGTCAGATCTCCTGGCGCTGGAGTTCTAGGCACCCAGCGTGGGGTTTGCAAACAGACCTCTGGTTCTCTGGAGAGCAACAAACACTGTTAGTCCCAGTCATGGGTCCAGCCATGACAACTTTTTGTTTTTTTGTTTTGTAGCCCAGGCTGGTCTTGTACCTCAGTCTCATCCTCCCGAGTGCAGGGATGGCACACTGAAGCCCTGACCCTGCTCTGTGCAGGTTCCCCCACCCCGCCCCGCTGCAGATGGGCGAGGACAGTGCAGTGACAGTCCAGTCTCTGTTCATATCTGCACATCCAGTGTCCTAAACTAGCTGGTGGGACACGCATGTCAGCACTGCTCCCAGTCCCCTGCTGGAGCCTGGGGAAGCTGCAGACCCCAAGATGGCATCTTCCAGGCTGGCTTCTGCAGCTGGACCTGGCATCGCCAGACACTTTACACCATGCTCAGCCCTGGAATCGTTGTTATTTTAGTTTTTGAAACAGTTTCAGGGTGTAGTCCAGACTGGCCTTGAGCTCAGAGATTCCCTTGCCTCTGCTCCCTGAATGCTGGGATTAAAGGCGTGCACCACCACCACCAGGTGAGGAATCATATTAAAGGTTCGCAGCATTAGGAAAGTTGAGAACCACTGATCCAGGTGTAGTGGCGCACACCTTTAATCCCAGCACTCGAGACACAGGCAGACTGATCCCTTGAGTTTGAGGCCAGCCTGGTCTACAGAGTTCCAAGACAGCCAGGGCTACACAGAGAAACCCTGTCTTGGGGGAAAACACAACAAACGATAACAACAACAACAACAACATAGAATCTGCCCTTAAAGTCTCTGACAGCACCAGCACAGGCTGTTGGGCACCACCAGCAGGGTAGAGCACCTGCCCTATACCAAGGGGAAACAGGTGCCACCATAAATAATTGCTGAAGATCAGCAGGGGCAGCTCCAATCCTGACTGCAGAACAAGCTCCAGGGGTCACCTATGACTACAGAGGGCAGGGAGAAGGTTGGGACACAGGGGGGTAGAACAGCTTCTGGGGATGCAACCTGAATGGACCCTCAGCTAGGTCAGGAGCTAAATATTTCCCACCCACTCAGTTAAGATTAAGATTCTGAGGCCAGGCCCTCCAGCCATTGTCTCCAGGATGGCTGGGTCCCAGGTCCAGGGGTACAAGCTCTCTGTGGAAGCCCTAGGTGTTCAGGACCATCTCTGGCCAGCTGACTGCAGGCATAGTCAGCCCTCACCAAACTGGGGAGGTGTCTGCACCAGAGCTGTACCCTCATTTGCAACAGCTAAGAGAACCCCAGGGGCCCCCAAATCTAACCACAGCTTCTCCCTGCAATTTCTCAGAAGAACAAACAGGTCCTTGTGGGGAGCTCTGGGCCTCAAGTGCAGACACCCAAGTGTGGCTCCACTGTGTCTAGAGTGAGAGGCTAGGGAGGAGGGGCTGCAAGCTGACCCCCAGCCTTCAGCTGCACCTGACTGGCTACAGTAATCACTGGGGTGACCTACATTTCAGGAGGTGCCATGGGGAGAGGGGAGCAGGTGCAAAACTCATACCCTCCACTTCAGTCCCCCAGTAGCTGAAGTTGTAGGAGGTTCTGCCACCTTGTGTCATTCATCCTGAATCAATGAACTTGAGAGCGGGTGGCAGTGCAGATCCAACACAATGGCTATCAGAACCTCGACCCTTCCCCCTTTGCAGAAACCCACAGTCAGGTCATGAAGTTTATGCAGAAGTGCCCAGGGCAGTAATGGTTGCTTTCAGGAGCTGCAGGATTCAAAAGTGACAGCTCCCAACTCACCAGGCAGCTGTGTGCACAAAGACATGCTGCACAAGGACAGTCACGTTTGCAGCAGGACGGAACCAGACGCCCTGTTCCACAAATAAACCCCACATTTTATGACTTTGGACAAACATGCCCCAGTAATTTAACAGGGGAGAGGAGTCTGCTCAGCACGGGTGCACTGGCCACTCAGGGGTGCACAGTGGCCCTGCTCACCTGGGGAGGAAACTTAACTCCCAGTGGATGGAGGCCTGAAGGCAAGAGCTGAAAATGTCCCAGGCTGAACTCAGTGCCCAACATGCTGAACTCCTGGGTTCCATCCCTAACAGTATAAACCAGGAATGGTGATGCATGCCTGTGACCTCACCACTTAGGAAGTGGAGGCAGGAAATCAAGAGTTCAAAGTCATCCTTGGGTACGTAGGGAGTTTGGGGCCAGCTGAAGCTACATGAGAACCCATCTCAAGAAAAAAAAAAAAAGAGGGCTAGAAGTGGTGTCAAAAGCCTGAGGCAGGCAGATCTCGATACCTGTGAGTTAGAGGTCAACCTTGTCTACATAGAGTTCTAGGCTAGTCAGGCTAACATTACCAGATCAAAAGAGCTGGGCAGTGGCGTACACCTTTAACCTAAACTTGGGAGACAGAGGCAGGTGGATCTCTGAGTTTGAGGCCAGCCTGGTCTACAGAGTCAGTTCCAGGAACAGGCAGATCTCTGTGCGTTCAAGACCTGCCTGGTCTACAAAGCAAGTTCTAGGACAGCCAAGGCTACAAAGAGAAACCCTATCTCAAAAAACAAAAATAACAAAAAATATAGTTCCTCACATGACCCCAGCCTATAAAATTATCTTCATTGTTACTTCATAACTAATTTTGCTATGGTTATGAAGCATAATGTAAATATCTGATATGCAGGATATCTGATATGTGACCCCTGTGAAAGGCTTGTTTGAATCCCAAAGGGGTTGTGACCCATGTGTTGAGAAACACTGTTCCAGACCCTGGGGCTCTCCTGTGTCCCTGTTGCCTGTATCTTCCAGAAAGGGTGTCAGCTCGGACTGCCTACCCTGAACTGGAGCGCGAGAGTGAGAGACTGTCATGGGGAAGGACAGGCACCCGCAGAGGAAGAGAGAGCCAGTGTCACAGAGTTGGGGGGGTCCTGGAGGGACCATGCTGAGCAGGAAGCCTCCTTCTCTTGCAGGCTACAGCATGTTCGCAGTGGGCATTGGGGCCTTGCTCTTCGGCTACTGGAGAATAATGAAGTGGAACCGGGAGCGCAGGTAGGGCCCTGCTCACCACCAGGGCTTCCGTGAGGGTGGTGGTGTCCTTGGCTGGCTGCTTTTCCGGGGCCTGACCTAATGCGAAGAGCTGGTGATGAACCTTCAGCTGTTCCCTCGCGGACCAGGTTAGCATAAACAGTAGGTCACCAGGCCAGATATGACTGAGGTTTGGGACATAGAGACAGACCAGCCGGAGCCACACAGTGAGAGCACAATAGAAAAGGAACCAGGCCATGGGAGGCAGGTCCCCTGGAGGCCAGAGAGACTAGGACCATGAATGATGAGGGGTATGAGAAACATCACTGGGTTGCTGAGAGACTCCTGACTCCCTGTGTGGGTAGTAGTTGTGGGGAGACCTGCAGACCCAGCACCCTGCTATTTTGAGAACAAAGGGAAATTGGTTTGTAAGGCCCAAGCCTGGTGGTGAGTGTGCCCCCTCTTCTCCCAGATCATCAGATGCCGCTATTTTTAGGATAAAAAAGTTTATTTGAAAGGAAAGTGTGAAGCCAACACTTTTGTGGCTGCTGTAGTCTGTGCCAGCTGCAGACTTGCCTTCCTGTCCCAACTCAGGTGGCTAGCCTTGCCCCACCCCATCCCACCAGCACCCTGTGTGTTCCACACTCCCTCAGTGAGCACATTTGACCCTGAGTGGGTGTGGTGGCTTTACAGGCGCCTGCAGATTGAGGACTTGGAGGCCCGGATTGCTCTCATGCCGCTCTTCCAGGCAGAAATGGACCGGAGGTAGGCAGGTTGGGATGGGCTCTGGGTCAAGGAAGGAACAGAGTTGTTGCTCTGGGTGGGTCTGATTTCAGTCCCGCCTTATGGCCGCAGGACCCTGCAGCTTCTTCGGGAGAACCTGGAGGAGGAGGCCATCATCATGAAAGATGTACCTGACTGGAAGGTATGTTCTGGATTGGGGTGGGGTGGTGTGGGGTGGCCAGCTGGAACTGATAAGGACTGACCCTGTCCCTGCCCGCAGGTGGGTGAGTCTGTGTTCCACACCACGCGCTGGGTGCCGCCCCTTCCTGGCGAGTTGTATGGGTTGCGCCCCAAGGAGGAGTTGAACAACGCCAACTTCGGCTTCACCTGGTACACATAGGGTCCGCACCGACGCCTACAATAAATAATAGTCAAGTAAAGGCCATCATGTGACTCTGTTGCGGATCCCTCTACACCTGTCTGCTATCCAGACTCCTCAGGGTTAAGTCATTCCTGTGCTTTGGCCAATAGCTGCACACAGTGCCTCTCAAGCAGGCATTCAACCACAGGGCTCCGCCCACCGAGCTTGCTTAAAAGGCAGCGGGGAGCCAGCTTGCCTGTGTGGCCATGAACAGCAGTGCCTGCAGCGACAAAGGCCCTGGAGAGGCGCCAGAGGAGAGGTGCTTTCTCAGGTCAGCAAGTGACAGGGAGCTGAGGCCAGGGTGGAGGCAGGGGAATGACTGGGGTGGGTTCTAGGGTCTGCTGGGAGCTTGCTGGTGCAGCAGTAGCCGAGTTGCCAGGGAAACCGCATTCCAGGAAACCCGACCCTCAGTTACCCTCACTGTTTGTGCAATTATCCTGAGGGACTTGGAGTTACACAGAGACTTTGAATATCAGCTGCCACTGGAAGCCAAGAAAGCTCGGGATGGGGGTTATGGGTTATGACGCAGGTTCAGAGACGGCCACAAGGTAAGCAGCGGCGATGGGTGCAGGTGTTGGGGAGAACACCTGCGATGCCCTGACTAGTGGGTTTCTTGCCCTTCTAGAAGTGATTTGGGGTTGTCAGACCCAGTTCCCTTTTCAGACCTCAGTACTGGGCCTGAAAAGAGACCCTAGTCTTGCTGTCCTCGTCTTAGGAGCAGCATCGATGGGGTGGGAGGGAGACGGATTTCCCTGCTGGTCCCATGAGCTCTTGTCCACGCTGTTCTCCAGAGTTAGCTGCTGCCCCTTGGTCTGGTTATTCCCTGGACTGCCCACTGTCGGGAGGAGACCATCACTACCACCCCTGCAGAGGCAGCCATGGCTGTCAGACAAAGGTGGGGACTAAGTCTCTGCACAGCGATGGTGTACTTGCCAGTGGAAACCAGAGGTCCGCATCAGGTGGCTTCCTTTATTTTTCTCGACCTGATTTTTTTGAGACAGAGTCTCTCAACCTAAACTAGACTGATTTCATACTGGCTGGCCAGTGAGTGAGTTCCACACATCTTCCTGTCTGTACCTCGCCAGTGCTTGGGTTACAGGCACACCTACTGCACCCAGCTGGTTTTTTTCCCCCCGTGGGTTCTGAGAATTAAACTAAGGTTATCATGCTTGCAAGGCAAACCATTTACCAACTTAAGGCATCTCTTCATTGTGCTGTGTGTGTGTGTGTGTGTGTGTGTGTGTGTGTGTGTCCTGGTGCCTGTGGAGGTGACAGGCATTGGATCTCTTGGAGCTGGAGTTGCAGGTGGTTGTGAACTGCTTGGTGTGGGTGCTGGGAGCTGAACTCAGTCCTTGCAAGAGCAGTACACTGATCCATCTTTCAGCCCCACAAACTTGTTTTTTGAGACAGAATTTTACTAAGCAGACCAGTTGGCTCAGGACTTGTGATGGTCCTGCCTCACCCTCCAAGTGCTGGGGTTCAAGCATGTGCCGCCATGTCTGTGCACACTGAGTGCACACTGATTGTGCTGTCCCAGAAGCTGGGCAAGTAGCCCAGGGCCCCCTTCATCTAACTGTGGCGCCACACCCTCCTTTCCAGGGTTTCTACCCTGCACTTGTGCTCCTGTGTCTTCCTCACAGTGCTTTGTTTGCTTTTTTGCATGGGGGTGGTGGTGGATGGTTGTTCTCTCTGTAGCCCCGGCTGTCCTGGAACTCAGAGATCCACCTGCCTCTGCCTCCAAGCGCTGTCCGTCCTGTTCTCCACATATCCTGCTTGTTCCAGTGCTCTAACTTCTTGCTTTCACCTCCCTTGGAGCGCCTCCCTTCCTCCAGGACGCCCTGCCTGTGGTCATCTCTTGACATCTGAGGCCCACTGAGCCTGCCCTTAGGGGCCTCTATGAACATGCAATTCATAGAGGTTATAAATGCAGAAGCCCCTCTCCGCCTGTGTCTTGCCTCTTCTTCCTTTAAAAAATTTTAATTACATTTATTGCCCCTCCCCCATGCAAGCGAGCATTGCGGAGCAGGGAAGACAGTCTGTGACTGCTGACCAATAGGCACAACTGGAAAGGCAAAGGAGAGGACTGATGGCACCAAGCGGGCCCCGTGCTACCCCAGCCCTGGTTCTCTAGTACAGAGTGTCTGTCTTGCCAGCTCACCTGCCCCACCTGCAAGGGGAGGCCCCCAGCCTCTGCTCTGGTTCCCATGATCAGACATGCTTAGCACTGCCATTGCTCTCTAAAAATTATTTTTTCCTAGTGTTAGGTGTAGAAGGTGGGACCCCACACATGGCTGACAGGTGTTCACACATGCAACATTAAATTGCTAATGACTTTTGAACACAGACTCATGGATTATGTAGTCTATTCTTGCCTTCAGTTTTGTTAGAGGTAGAGGTAGCTCTTAGCCAAGTTGGTCCAGATAATCTTCTTTTCTTTCTTTTTTAAGATAGGATCTCATGTCCATCATTGACGGCACACACCTTTGATAGGGTCTCACTACGTAGCCCTGACTGGCCCAGAGCGAAGGCTGCTCTTAAACTCACACAAATCTGCCAGCCTCTGCCTCCCGGGTGCTAGGATTAAAGGCATGGGCTACAAAGCCAGGCTCAGATATCTTAATTTCATTATCCTGTAAGATGGGTTGTCAAGGATCTCACAGTTGAGGGTCACACTTCCATTTCCCTCCTGGTGTCCTAGAACTTCCTCATTTGTCCTTGTGTCAGAATCAACTCACCTGACCTTTGTAGGGTGAAATTCTTTTAAGGGTTGGGGGTGGGTGGGCACAGCAGTTATAAATCTGAGGGAAGAGAACTGGGAGTCCCATGACACCCTGAGATATGTGGCTTGGGGGAATCAGTCTGTATTCAGAATCTTTTCTCCTGATCTCTGGGTTGCTCAGCTTTCTTTGGGGTTTAAAAAAAATAATGCCGAGCCACATATGCGTCTTTTACCACCAGAGGACGCGCGTGCCTCAGGCTGCGGCTGCCTTTTCAAACCAAGCTTGTGGGATGGGGAAACGGCAGGAAATGATGGCCCCTGAAACTCCTCGTGGGTAAGGACGAGGCCAGAGCCTTCCGACGGATCTGGGCAGCCATCCTCGGGTCTCCCCGTTCCCTTTCTGCGCCTCTGAGCGTGTTGTCCGACTCTGCCTGCAGCATCTCGGAGGCGGCCTCCCTGGAGCAGGAGCTGCTGGACGAGTACCGCTTCGGGCGGCAGCAGCTGGTGGAGCTGTGCGGGCAAGGCAGTGCGGTGGCTGTGGCCAAGGTACTAGCCCCCTTTGCTCGGGGCTACTTCAACCCATCGCTTGGGAGGGGACGCTGAAATACAAGGCTTCGTTTTCAGGCTCACTGCCAGACAAGGCAGAAGTGGGGTCCTCAGAGACTCAGATGGGGGAACACCTACAGGGTAGGTCTTGGGTCCTCAAAGTGCAGGTCTGGGTCCCCTAGAAGTGCGACCTATAACAGCCTACCTACCATCTGAACACCCCTAAATGTCCCTACGAGAAAGCAGGTCCGGACGGGCAGGGTGGTCAAATGAGGTCTGAAGCAGTACTCAGGTAAATCTTTACCCCATAGGTGCTCCCAATATGACAGGAGCGTTGATGACGCCAGAGGAGCTGGCTTTGAGGCCCACTGAGCCTGCCCTTAGGGGCCTCTATAAACAGGCAATTCATAGAGGTTATAAATGCAGAAGCCCCTCTCCACCTGTGTCTCGCCTCTCCTTCCTTTAAAAAAATTTAATTACGTTTATTGCCCCTCCCCCGTGTCAGCATGATCATGTGGAGCAGGGAAGACATTTTGTGGGCACTAATGTTCTTCCACCATGTGGGTCTCAAGAAAGAAACTCCTTTACCTGCTGAGCCACTTCACTGACTCTCTTCGGTAGCACAGATTGTCCTCGCGGTGGCCTACAACTGCCAGTCCAGCAGCTCCTAAGGCAGGAGGATTGCTGCAAGTCCAAGATCAGCCCGAGCGAGAACCTCTCAAACAATAACAAAACAAAACAAAACAAAACAAAAAACCATGTAGACAGACTGAGTTTCTGAAATAGAAGGCAAACAGGAAATAGTAAAGGCAGGAGCGGGGCAGACAGATGGTTTAGGCGCTTGTACGATTGCGGACCTTCCTCCGGGTTAACCCCACTTTTCAGTGTAACTTGGGGGTAACTGCGTCAGGAAAGAAGGGATTGTGTCCAAAGTGCATGGAGTAAACAAACCACACTGGGCTTGCACGCAGACCACCACTCTGTCCCTCTGCTACGCCCAGGCGTTCCCTTTGTCCTCGGGGTCGCGCAAGCAGAGGACGGTACTGGTCGTGTGCGGCCCGGAGCAGAACGGCGCTGTGGGGCTAGCGTGTGCCCGGCACCTGCGGGTGTTCGTGAGTAGCAGGGTCCTATGGCGGGGAACAGAGCTGGGTTGGGGTTCCGCTGGGGACAAGAACTGGGGTGGTCTCCCTCCCGCTGCCGCCATCACCAGACCCAGGTTCCCCCAGGACTACCAGCCCAGCATCTTCTGCCCGGCGCGTTCGGCCGACGCTCTGCACTGCGACCTGACCACGCAGTGCGAGAAGATGGACATTCCCTTCCTGTCCTTTCTACCCACCGAGGTCAGCTGAGCCTACCCTGACCCCGCCCTGACCCGTCCCCAATCCGGCCCCTCACACCGCCCCCCCCCCCACAGGTGCGGCTCATCGATGACGCCTACCGGCTGGTGGTGGACGCAGTGCTAGGCCCGGGAGTGAGGCCGGTGGAGGCGGGCGGGCCCTGCGCGCGCGCGCTGGCCACTCTGAAGCGGCTCTCCATCCCGCTCGTGAGCCTGGACGTCCCTTCAGGCATGCCACCCAGGAGCAGTCTGATCACCCCAGTCTGTTTTCTCCATCCACCTTTTCCAGCCTCTCACCCCTAGTCTTGGTTTTCCTCATTCAACCTCAATTTCCGCGTCTGCCCTGCTGTTTCACACCCTTCCTAAGGAAGGGGAAGTTACAAGTGGCTGCCCCAAGTGACCCGGTGTCCTCTTGGTCCGGGTGCTAAACGGGCACAACCCACCGTTGGCCCTGCTTCAGGGCAGACGTGAGCTCAGTCCTCAGAGACCACGCCTGCCAGGGACAAACTACTTTCAGTCCTCTTTTGGGGCTGCGTGGTAGTGTCCCCAGTTTGAGGGTCCCAGGACCATTCCAGATCAAGACCGAGGCATATCTAGTCTGGGAAGAGGGGATAGGCTGCAGGTGGACCCGAAAGAAGAGGGACCCTGCAGTTGGAAGCCTCTTGTTAGAGAGAGGAGCAGGTGGCTTATGGTTAATGCCTGAGACAGGAAGGAAGTCCGAGGTGCTTGTCCTCGGACAGGGTTGACAAAGACTCCTGGAAGGTTTGGGATGGGAGGTAAGAAGGGTCTCAGGTCACAGGTACAGGGTAGGAACCTGGTCGGGGGTAGGGGATTGGGGATGAGGAAGGTCTGTTTGGTCTGAGCAAGGCGGCTTCTGTCTGCTGGGGGTGGATCAGAAGGCAGTGGCTGGATCTTGCCAGGGGACGGTGGAAAGGGAGTAAGACGAGGGTGGAGACGTTTCTGCAGTCAGCAGGTCTGACCGCTACCCACGTGTCGGAGGTTGAGGCACGGAACCTGGTGGGAGACAGGGCAGACCCTGTCCGGGAGCCGCGGTCCTCCCAGCTCCCCCTCTTCCGCCCTCAGGTTGGGACACCGAGGCTGGCGGCAACGCAAAGGATGAGGTGCAGCCCGACGTGCTAGTGTCCTTCGCTGCGCCCAAGAGCTGCGCGAGTCGCTTCTCCGGGCGCCACCACTTTGTGGTCGGCAGGTTCGTGCCTGACGACGTGCGCCGCAAGTTTGGCCTGCGCCTGCCAAAATATATTGGCACCGACTGCGTGGCCGCGCTGTGACCCGCACCAATAAACATCTCCACCACCTCTCCCTCCGCCTCCTTTGTGCGCCAGACCAAGCGGGTGAGCGAGTGGAGAATGAACTTCCCTCGCGGCTTGAGGAGAGGAGTTGCGCAGTGGAGCTTTCTAGAATAAAGGGTAGACCCGGGTGGGACTTCCGGCTGTCGGGAGTCTCCTAGAGTTAAGACCGAAGTTAAACATGATAGATAACTTCTAGCCGCCGAAGTGTCCGGCAGTTTCAAGCTTAAGACCAAATGGCGCCACCCACGCGACGCGGGATCTAGTTGGAGAAGGCGGAGGAGGAACGTGGGACGCAGTCTGAGCGCGAGGAATCGCTGGAGGCCTCAAGGAAGGGCAACCTAGAGCGGTTTACAGGGGCGTGGCTTGCTGCCGCGTCCCGCCCCCATCAGTCCCTAGCAGGCGCCCGACCCACCCCAGTCGGATCCGAGCGCTTTTGCAGAGCCGCTGCGATCTGGCGATGGCACTACCGCTGCCCCTGCTCTGTCTCTGCATCGCAGCCGCGCACCTAGTGGGAGCGCGAGGTGAGATGCCCTGGGGCCGGGAGGCTGATCACTGCGCGCATCAAAGGGGGTGGGTGGGGCACCTCACGAGCTTCACAGAGAGCAGAGCGACCGAAAGAGACCGCTTCTTTCCGTCCTCTCCGGGGATAGAGCACCAGGCCAGGAGTTGAGCATGGATCGGAGCTGTCCTTTCGCGTAGCTGTTGACAGGCCCATTTCTCAGAAGACTGAGGCTCCAGGAAGAAGGGGTTCGCCTGAACCTGTCACCCCTCCTAATTCATCTTGGAAAGTTGGAAGCCAGAGAAGCCGAAGACTTCTCTGTTAACACCTTGAACCCCATCTAGAAAGACCGGGGAGAGTAGAGCAAGACACGCGACTAAACTTGTGTTTGATGAACACTTAAGTTCGAAGGACAGGGCTTCAGGGTCCACTGCTAGTTACAGGACTAGCAGCCAAGGGCAGAGCACTGCAGACCCCAGGGCTAGATCTGTTTCCTACTCCGTGAAAGGTAGTGGTCATGGTCCCGCTATTGCACCAGAAGGGGGTCCCAGCGGTCCCCACCTTGCACTCTTACAGATGCTAACCCCACCAAGGAGAGCACTGCAGCCACCAGGGATCTTGTAGGATGGCCGCCAGACCCCGGCCAGCCCTCGCCAGCCCTGGAGGACTGGGAGGGTAAGTCGCCTCTGCGACCGAGTTGTGTGACCTGGGCCTGGTGGAGATATGGGGGAGGGTGGGGAAAGTAGTCCTTCGACATCGCAGCTTCTGGAAACCCTGACCCCAGGGCCCCAAGCTGGAGGGACTGACGGGAGGTGGGGACCCGGGCTCAACACGCGGTGCCCGCAGAGGCCAGCGAGTGGACGTCGTGGTTCAACGTAGACCACCCCGGAGGAGATGGCGACTTCGAGAGCTTGGCCGCCATCCGCTTCTACTATGGTCCCGCGCGCGTGTGCCCGCGGCCCCTGGCCCTGGAAGCGCGCACCACAGACTGGGCGCTACCGGCCTCCATGGGCGAGCGCGTGCACGCCAACCCGACACGCGGTTTCTGGTGTCTCAATCGGGAGCAGCCCCGAGGCCGCCGCTGCTCCAACTACCACGTGCGCTTCCGCTGCCCAGTGGGTAAGGTAGTCCTGGGCGGGCGGGGACGTAGAAAGTGTGACCCTGAGGAGCAAGATCCGTTGAGAGCGGCGCCTGAGTTTCCACCGAGGTGGGGTCGTGTGGGCGTAGCTTCGATGAGACCACCCACCACCCTGCGGGCATTGGTTTGAGGGGCGGAGCTGGATCCAGGTGGTAGTGTATCCACGTTCCAGGACCCCAACAATCCATCCTGAATAGCTCAGTGCTGGGGGATGGCCGATGGGGAACAGCAGGGCTAACCAGGAGTGCACCTGGCAGGGAGTCGGGGTGTGTTCTGCAAGACTACAGTCTGCCTCTGTGACTCTGCAGTCAGGGTGCGTGTATGCCAGGGAACCGGACCCGCTTAGTCCAGAGAGCCCGCTGTAGGGGGTTGACAGCTCCTCATCTTCCTCCTTGCTCCGCAGAGGCCGCGTGGGGCGCATGGGGCGCGTGGGGTCTCTGCTCCAAGAGCTGCGGGCCAGGCCGCCGCCTGCGCCGCCGCAGCTGTCAAAGCTCTTCTGGGGATATGTGTCCTGGGAGCCCCCAGGAGGCGCAGAAGTGCGTGAGGTCCAGGTGCCCAGGTAGGAGGGGACAGGGCCTGAAGAGGGACGGTCAGGGGTGGGGCCTGCATAAAGAGGAGCCCAGGAGGCGAGGCCAGTAAAGGGAGGAACTTGGGACATAGGTGGGGTCTAGAAGGGTCCAATATTGGCAACCCCTTCCCTCCTTTGCCCGATGGGTCGTGACTGCGCACAACCGAATGCTATTTTACTGGGCGTAGAATCCTAGGCGCAAGGTAAAGGGACTACGCAAAAGGTCGGTAGATGCCAGACAGGCATGGCCAGACTCGAGGGGCCATTTCCTCTAGTGCACAAAGGTAGCCCTGTGTGCAGACGCAGTTGCATACTCTGAGTGAATGCATGTAGCATTCAGTCTCTGCCTGCCCAGCTTGCCCACGCAGACACGTGCTCACACCTTGGCAGACACAATGCCCAGGCCCTTCCAGGAGGGGACTGGAAATTCCACAAACATGGTCTGTAACCGTTGCAGCAGAGCCCTCATAGGGTGGGGACCCCACCCCATCTCCGGCACTTCTCCCTTCAAGTTTCCACTGTAATTTTCCATTTTGTAAAGAAGCGGCAGCATTAGCAACGAGACAGATGTTGTCCAAGACAGCCCCTGGCTCCCAGCCCTACCTAGGTGTTCCTGTGGATGAGTTCTCCTCGCCATCTTTTGTGAATCAACCTCTTGGGTCCCCTCCTTGGAGTTTCTTCCCCGCGTCTCTGGATCCAGCTTCTTCCAACTAGTCTAGCTATGCCCATTCATTCCTGTCTCCAGACTCACTCAAGTCCAGCCACACTGACGCCTGAGGGGAATTGATGGGGGAGGGGAGTATGTTTGTTGAATAACTGAGTGCAAAACTCTCTCCAAGAGTTCTCTCTGCCTCCCCCCATGTTCCCCTAGGGTGTAGCTCTGACAGCTGTGGGTGCTCTGACCACATCCTCTTGGGCTCAGTGGTCACTCAATCTGGGCAACCACTGCCAGGAGCCAGGGTCTTCCTTCGAGCCCGACCTGGCACTGTAGCCACCAGTGACACCCATGGAACCTTCTGGGTTCCTGGCGTCTGTGCTGCCAGTCAGGTCAATGTCAGTGCCCAGATGGATGGCTTCTCAGTTGGTACAGCCCAGGCCCATGCCAACAGCTCCAGCTCAGCCGTGGTCACCATCGTCCTTAAAGAGTTAGGTGAGTGTCCTTACAGCCAGGAACATAGGGTGACAGGGGAGGGTGTTTCAGGCCAAGGGGAAAAAACCCAAGAAGTGACTCACTTGTTGACAGTACAGGGTGAGGAAGGCTGTCCCTGAGAGAATGGGAGGAAAAAGGGGTCTCTGGGGATATAACAGGATCATAAACTTGGCCAACTCCTATTCCTTTAGGAAAGCCATACCTGGTAAAGCACCCCGAGTCCCGAGTGAGAGAGGCAGGTCAGCATGTGATCTTCTGCTGCAAGGCTTCGGGGACCCCCATGCCTAAAAAATATTCCTGGTGAGTGTCTTCATGAACTGAGGGAATTAGCCAGCTTTGGGTTGGCAGGAGTTCCTGTAACCCTGTGGTACCTCTAAAACCTAAGGTGTTGTGATGAAAACTTTATTCAGGCCGAGGCAGGAGGACTGTTGTGAGCTTGCAGTAGTGTGGGCTACACAGTGGTGAGACCATGTCTCAGAAACAGAAAAAACAAAGCCGGTCTGGTGGGGCGCACTAGGGGCTTAAGGATTCAGAGTTCAAAGTCAACCTAGGATAGACAAAACATAAACCTCCTCGAGAGACTGCCTTTCGCCTCAGTTTCTTCTTTGTCCAGACTGCAGAGAGGTCCAGGGAGCTGAGCTCCAGAAAGCCTCTCTCCAGTCCTAGTGACAGAGGTGGTCGGGCCACCATCCCTAAGATCCCCACGATGTCATCCAACTGCCCCCTTCAGGTTCCACAACGGGACCCTGCTGGACCGGCGCCAGCACGGGTCTGGGCCGCACTTGGATCTCCAGGGGCTTCGCGAGGACCAGGCAGGGGACTACTACTGCAAGGCCTGGAACGAGGCTGGTGCCGTGCGCTCCCGCGCCGCCCAGCTCACAGTGCTCGGTGAGCAGCCTGGTCCCACCCCACCCGAGCCCAGCCCACGCTCCCTCACCTCAGTTACCCTCCCTTGACCCGGGTGTGTGTACCCGCCAGCTCCCGGCCAGCCGTCCTGCGACCCCCGACCTCAGGAACATTTGATCAAGCTTCCCGACGACTGCGGCCAGCCCGGCGGCGGCCCCGCATACCTAGACGTGGGCCTGTGCACGGACACGCGCTGCCCGGGCCCCGCGGGCTCCGGTCCTCGCTGTGGGGACGCGGGCGCTCGCTGCTGCTCAGTGCTGCGCCTGGAGAGCAGGGACATCCGCTGCTCCGGCTACGTGCTCCCGGTGAAGGTGGTGGCCGAGTGTGGCTGTCGCAAGTGCCTGCCCCGACGGGGGCTAGTGAGGGGCCGCGTGGTGGCTGCGGACTCGGGGGAGCCCCTGCGCTTCGCCAGCATCCTGCTGGGCCGTGCGCCCATCGGCTTCACCTCCTATCAGGGCGACTTCACCATCGAGGTGCCGCCGGCCACTGAGCGCCTCGTGGTGACCTTCGTGGACCCGAGTGGCGAGTTCGTGGACAGCGTTCGCGTGCTGCCTTTCGACCCCCGTGGCGCCGGCGTGTACCACGAAGTCCGTGCGCTGCGCAAGGCGGCCACAGTGCTGCTGGACGCGGAGCGCGGCGGTGCAATCCCGTTGGGCGGCGCGGAAGAGGCGGCGGCTCCTGCGCTAGGTGAGCTGGTTTTGCCGCCCGGTACCTTCCGCCACTCCGACGGCCGTCCCTACGCCGGGCAGGTGGAGGCGCGTGTCACCTTCGTGGACCCCCGTGACCTGGCGTCGGCGCGCGGGGCGTCCAGCGACCTGCGCTTCCTGGACAGTTCGGGAGAACTGGCGCCGCTGCGCACCTATGGCATGTTCGCGGTTGACCTGCGCGCGCCCGGCTCTGCAGAGCAGCTGCACGCGGCGCGCGCGACCGTGCGCGTGGACGCCGAGCACGTGCGCATGCCCGGCCACGCGGAGGCTCTGGCTCTCTGGTCGCTGGAGCCGGAGA